CGTGTCCTTTTCCCGCGCGGGCCGAGCGCGCGGCGGGGCCGCGTCGCGCGCCAATAAAGCGTGGAGACACGGGCGCCGCGTCCGCGTGCTCGGGGCGGGGCCGGGCAGGGGGCAGGGGGCGGGGCGGCGGCACGTGGGACTCGGCCAATGAGCGCCGGGGGGCAGCGGCGGGGCCGGCGTGGCTAAGATGGAGTCGGTAGCTCTGGTGGCGCCGGTGACAGCGCTGGAGTTCGTGGGGGACGCGCTGCTGGCGGGTGAGCGCTGGGACCGGATCGGGGGGGGGGGCGGCGGGGCCGGCGGCGGCGGCTGACGCGGTGTCCCGCAGGTACAGGCCCGGAGGTGGTGGCGTTCCGGCTGAGCGGCGGCGGGCCGGCGGCGGCGGCGGGCCGGCGGAGCGTGCTGCGTGAGGCCAGCGTGCAGGGGCTGCGGGCCGAGCCGGGGCCCGGGCCGGCGGCGCGAGTAGCGGTGTTCGGTGGGCGCTGGCTGGCGGTGCTGACGGTGCGGCGCGGCGGAGCGGGCGGCGGGCCGCTGCTGGCGGCGTGCGGCGGCGGGGCCGCGCGCGAGCTGCGGGCGCGGGTGTGGGAGGCGCGCTGGGCGGCGGGCCGGCGGCTGGCGCTGGCGCTGGGCGGCGGGACCGTGGCGCTCTACGAGTGGTGGGGCGGCGGGCGCTGGCTGCGGCAGGCGAGCTGTGGCGGGGCCGGGGCGCTGCGCTGCGCCGCGCTGGCGGGGGTCAGCTGGGGGCGGCTGGCGCTGGCGGCCGGCACGGCGACGGGGGACGTGGTGGTGTGGCGGGCGGCGGCGGCAAAGGCCCCGCAGCGTCAGCTGCGCGGGCACCAGGGCGCGGTGCTGGCGCTCTGCTACGCGGCGTCGCGGGGTCTGCTCGCCTCCGCCTCCGAAGACCGCAGCGTGCGGCTCTGGGCCGTGGGCGACTTGGGCGGCGGGGACGGGGCCGGCGCCTGCCTGCTGGTGTGCTACGGGCACGGGGGGCGAGTGGCCGCCGTGGTGCTGCGGGGGCCGCTCCCGGTCAGCGCCGGGGAGGACGGCGCCTGCCTGGAGTGGGGCGGCGGCGGCGGCGTGCGGCGGGCGCGGCGCGGGCACCGCGGGGCCCTGCGCGCCCTGGCCCTGCGCCCCGCTGGCGGCCGCATGGCCACGGGCGGCGACGACGGCGGCGTCCGACTCTGGCAGCCCCGGCGGGAGGCCGCGGAGGCGGTCCCCGCCGTTGCAGCGCTGGGGTCCCCGGAGCGTCCGCGGGCCGTGCTGCTAGTGGGGCCGCGGCGGGTGCTGGTGCTGGGCGAGGCGGGCGGGCTGGCGACATTCGAGGTGGCTCAGGGGCGCTGGACGCCGGTGCTGCACCCCGCCGCCAGCGGACCCCGCGCCCTGCTGGCGGCTACCCCGCTGCACGGATGGGACGAGACGCTCTGCGCCGTGGCCGGCGGCGATGGGCGCCTTCTCCTTTTCGCCTTGAGCCGCCCCGGAGCCGCCGCCAAGCTCACGCTGTTCGAGGGGGCCGTGCACGGGCTGAGCTGGGCCCCCCGTCCCGGGCTGTCCCCCAACACCGCTGCTGCTCTCTTGGCCTCCGGTCCTGGCGGGGAGATGCTCTGGTTGGATGTCACCCACCGCCCCGGACAGGCACCCTGGGTGCAGCTCATGGGTCGGTACCTGCTGCCCCCCTGCAAGCAGCGCTGGCACACCTGTGCCACGTTCTTGCCCCAGAAAGGGCTCCTGGTCTGTGGGGACCGCCGGGGCTCCCTCCTCCTCTTCTCTTGCAGCAGCTCCTTGGAGCGGGCTGCAGAAAGCACCGACATTGTCAATGGTGCCATTGACCCCGTTGTTGAAGACTCCAGCAGTGAGTTGGAGCCCTCTTGCTTGTTGCACAAAGAGGCTCTTCCTCTTGAGTCTCCACTGTCAGTGCTCTTTGGACTCCACGGGAAGACAGGAGTTACCTCGGTGACCATCCACAGGGGCTACATTTACAGCACAGGCCGGGATGGTGTCTACCACCAGCTCCGCCTGCGGGACCAGCAGCTGGAGGTCCTGCAGAAGCACAGGCCCTGCAAAGGGCTGCAGTGGATTGAGGAGCTGCAATTCACCTCGGATGGGGACCTGCTTGTGCTGGGCTTTCACGCTGACAACTTCGTGGTGTGGAGCAGCAGGACTGGCGAGAACATCCACTGCATCCCTTGCGGGGGCGGGCACCGCTCCTGGAGCTACTGCAGCAGCCCCTTGGCTGAGGTGTTTGCCTTTATCAAGTCTGGGGATGTGATGCTGCACCACCGTGAGGCCGAGCCCTGCGAGCAGCAAGTGCTGCTGGCATCCCTGCACGGGCGGGAGATCACCTGCGTGCGGCGCCTGGGGGCCGTGGAGGTGCCTGGCCGTGCCACTCTTAATGTGTTTGTCACCGGCAGTGAGGACACCACGATCTGTGTCCTGGTGCTCAGTGAGAACTCTCGGGCAGCTGTGCCCCTTGCCCGCCTCAGTGACCACATTTCCAGTGTGAGGACGTTGGCATTTGCCATGGGACCTGGAGATGAGAGCTTTGGTGATGAGGGCTTGTCTGCCCTGCTCTTCTCTGCAGGCGGCCGTGCACAGATTGAGTGCTACAGGCTGCTGTGCACCGGGGACACAGCGACTGAGAGTGCTGTGGCCTGCCAGGTCATCCACGTGGCTTCCCACCGGCTGGACAAGCACTGGGAGCACAAGAAGAACAGGCACAAGCTTGTTAAGATGGACCCAGAGACAAGGTGATGATCAGGGACTGCCCAAGGCAGAATTAGGAGTGATCACAGTATGGGAGGGTGTTGGGAACTGCACAGGCCTCCACTGGAATACCTGCTCTGTACAGCTGCAGTTTCAGCTGAGGCAGAGAGGGCCAGCGTGGCTTCATTTGTGATTCCTGGCGTACAGTGCCCTGTGGGCTTCAAGGGGCTTTTGGTGTTAGGGAAAGGCTCAGGGCTACTCTCCTGGGCCACCCACCTCCGTGGGGCCACAGAGGTGTTGGTGAATATTGTGTCTTTGCTGTAGGTACATGTCCCTGTCAGTTGTGCCTGGGACGAGCACCAAGCAGTTGCCAACACCCTGGAAATTCCTGGCTGCTGCCTGCAGTGATGCATCAGTCCGGTGAGGAGCCATCATGGGGCCTGACAGGGAGAATGGAACCGGTGATGGCAGCAGAGCAGGCTCAAAACAAGAGGCTGCTGATATGGGACACGGCCTCCTCTGAACTGGCCATAAGACAGTGTGTGGTGGGAAATGGGGCAGTGGAGCCAGAAGCTCCTACTCTCCCACAGCCAACTGCCCTCTGCTCCATTACAGGATCTTTGGGCTGCTGGAGGCTGCTCGGAAGTTGGTGCTGGTGGCAGAGTCATTTCACCACCAGCGCTGTGTGCTGAAGGTGGAAGCGTTCCTGCACACATGGGCAGGAGGGGAGAGGTGAGCCCCGAATGCTGAGCTGCAGTTGATGGGCTCTGGGGAGAAATGTCTGTCCTTGCAGGGATGGCAGCTCAGCAGGCAGAGGGAAGGGACAAGTTAATCCCTGGGGGCTGTTCTGCCACTTCCACGGATATCAGTGGGGACCCTCAGGGCTGCAGCCAGAGACTCCCTCTACATTCCCTGTTCTAGGAGGCACCTCCTGTGCAGTGCAGCCACTGATGGCAGCATTGCCTTTTGGGACATCACCAGCCCCATCATGGATGCGGCAGATGCCCTGCACCAAGCAGAGGGAGAGATGCAGCCCTTGGGTGAGTGCTGCTGCCCCGCAGCTCTTCTGCTCCCTCTGACCAAGGTGAGCGTTGCTCTCCTGACCGAGCCTGTTTACCCAGGCCTGGGCGCCCCACTGGTCACCATCATGGCCCACAGCTGTGGCGTGAACAGCCTTCACATCCGTGAGACACCCGAGGGACAGTACCTGGTGGCCAGTGGCAGTGATGATGGCTCCATCCATGTCTGCCTGCTGGAGGTATCCCTGGACAGAGATGAGGCCATGGCAGGAACCTGCCTGCAGGTCCTGGAGCGGGTGTCCAGGCCCTGTGCCCACGCTGCCCACGTGACGGGCATCCGGGTGCTGCGGCCAGACCTGCTGCTCTCTGCCTCAGTGGACCAGCGCCTGACGCTGTGGAACCGCAGCCCAAGCGAGCTGGTGCCCCTCAGCACCACCTTCTTCCATGTGCCTGACCTGGCTGAGCTGGACTGCTGGGAGGTGGTGGACGCCGGGGGTGAGCTGCGGTACTACTGCGTGCTCTCTGGGCAGGGCCTGGAGATGCTGTGCGGCACAGCCTCCTCCAAACCTCCTCCACAAGAGGCTCCTCAGTAATGGGGCAGGTGTGTGACACATCCAGGTCCCTGCCTGCATTTGGAAGGCACCCTGCACTTGGGCTTTGCCCATTGCTGTGGCCCCTGCCTTTAGGCACATGCCATGGTTGTGGTGCTCGAGGCCAGTGGTCTCTGGGAAGAAGGCAGATGGGATCCCTCCTGGACAAGCCTGGGCCTTCCCCGTGCAGTAAGGAAGTGGGGCTGTTAATCCCCGCTGCCCAAAAGCAGCTCTTCCTCTGCAAGGTGTGAAGGACCCATGTCAGCTTTCCAGTCTTGTCATCAGAGAAGAACCTTGCTTGGGTGGGCACTGAGGACATGGCGCAGCCCTGGGCGCTTGAGAGCAGCAGAAGGCCAGGAAGAGTCAGGGACGGGTTGTGACATGTGGGCTGCAGCCTTGTGTGTCCACGGACAGCACTTTTTGACAGTCCTGACCCTGCAGTGGTGAGGATGGTGCTGAAATGCACAGGGACACTGATCATCCACAGCAGCACTCTGTAGCATGGGGGTGTTGCTGGGCTGCCCACAAATACCACCCCAATCAGGCCAAGTGGGTTTTTCCTGCATAGCAGCAGACCCAGGATAGACAACCCGAAGGAAGGAAGGAAGGAAGGAAGGAAGGAAGGAAGGAAGGAAGGAAGGAAGGAAGGAAGGAAGGAAGGAAGGACAAACAAACCTGAGGTCAGACACACAGAGGGTTTGTCCAGCAACAAGTGTATTGAACCCCAGTACTGGGGCCTGGCTCAGAGCCCAGCAGGAGTCTGGAGCCTCAGGAGCTCCCTGCCAGCACGGAGCACCTTTCAATAAAGTTTTGAGAGAAGTGAAGTTGGCATTTGTCTTTGTGGTGACTGGTCCCTGCTGCCACCTCCCCAGCACTCCCAGCTCAGCTTCTGGGGTGCCACAGGAGCCCTCTGCCCTTCTGCTGGTGTGGATGTGGAGGGCTATCCATGTCCCACACTAGACACAGCTACACACAGTACAGACCAATCCCCAAACACCATGGACCATGGGAAGGGAAGCACCTCCATGGGGCTGAATTGTGCCTTGCCTGCCACCAGAGCAGCCCCTGTCTTGCCAAGACAATGTGCCCTGTTCTGCCCCAACATGTGGTGTGTAGGTGACTGTCACACCATGGTACAGCTCTTCAGGGGTGGCTCAGATCTGGCTGAGGGGAGGGAGGTGTAGGGTTGCCAGTGCGCTGTGGAACACGTCCCTCACTGCTCCCAGCAGCTGGAGGCGAGCAAACATCTGGTCAAAGAGATGAGGGAACGGCTCCTGCAGGGAGAATGGCAGCTTAGGACTGGTGGCCAAACTGACCCTCTACAAGGCTGGCCTGCAGGCACTGCTGCCTGTGCATCACTGGAGGATGGGACAGGGGACCATCACATTCCTGGCACCATTCCCCCCAAAAGCACTGCAGGGCCACAATGCTGCAGCTTGGACACCTAACTCACCCCCAGGACATGCACTCGGTTGTAGTAGGAGCTGAAATCCATGCTGAGCTGGATCAGGAACTTGCACACCTACAAAGCAGAGACATTCTCATGGCACAGTGAATTCTGGCTGGTCTTGGGCCCTCGCCCACCTCAAGCACAGCAGGAACTGCCCATGAGCATTGCCATCTATTCTCTCTGCACTGTCCCTGTGTTGCTCACTGATGGGCAGCACCTGCTGGCATGGAGCTTTGCCCTGGGCTGGGACTGGTGGAGCAGCATCCATGGATGCTGTGGCACATGGCACTTACTGCCTCTGTGTTGGCAGTGATCCGGATCCCCTTGGAGGACATGGGCAGCTGTGCTGCCTGCTGCAGGACTTCAGGGAAGGGCAGGAGATAGTTGAAGAGGAGGAGCCATTCACCCTGCGAAGGCATTACATGTCTAAGTATCAGGTTCTCCTGGGCCAGTAGCATCCATCACCAGAGCTGAGGATGCACAGATCCCCCCCATTCCTCATCTCAGCACTCACCTCTTCTCGGAGGCAGGAGAAATTCAGTTCAGATACTGGTGGCAGAGGTGGATATGTGCCTGGAAAGCAAGGAGACTGTTGTGCCCAAAGAAGCCCCTGTGGCTCCAGAAGTTGCTGTCAGGGGAGGGTGGTGGAGCTGGTGCTCACCCTGCTCCACAGCCCGCTGGAAGGTTTTGAAGAGTGTGGCCAGTCGGGCACAGTTGTACATCACAAAGGCACCACTCTTTGTTCCCTTTGTGGAGATGCTGTTGTTCTCCAGGTCCAGGATGATCTGAGGGCAGGGAGAAGCCACAGTCCAGGCTGCTCAGCAAAGATCCACTCTGCTCTTCTGACAACCTGCCAGCCCTGGCTCCATGCAAGCCGCTGTCCTACCTGACTCCGGTGAGCAGTGCTCAGCATCTCAAACCTGATGGCAGCCACTGTCAGAGTATCAATCACCTCTGTCCAGGCCTCATCTGTGGAGAATGTAAGTGCCATCATGCACAGCTTGCTCCATTCCCATGTACTGATATCCCTAGCACCCAGGCAGGACACCCCTGCCAGGACCAGGTAGTGGCTGAGGACCACCACACCGCTGGCCTTGGCTCCCACCAAGAGTTGCTCTGTGCCAGTGCCCTGGATGTTCTGATGCCTTCCCAAAGCAAGGGCAACACCTGGCTTGATCCTGGAAGGGAGAAGGAGCACCCTGCAGGTGCAGCCCCCCTGCCTGTGGACTCATGGGAGCAATGAAGTGGGATGGAGCAGCATCCATGCCTGGGGCCCCAGCTCTCACCTTGTGCAAGCTCCCCATACTTCATCACGGAGGCTTCATACATCTGGCGCTTCCGGAGCCTGGGAGAAACACAGAGCCACCTGCTGTGGGCTGAGCTGGCCCACAGGGAGCCTTAGCAGGAGAGAAAGCAGCAGGTGCCTTGCACACCAACTTACTGGAAGTACTGGTCTGCCCCAATGGGTGATGAGGGGTTGGTCACCTTCACTGGCCCACAGACAAGGTGTTTCTGAAAGACAGAGAGGCTGAGGCTAGGAACTGAGTGAAATCCAGCCCTGTTCTAAACCTAGTCATGAGCCAAGGATGGATGCTGGGAGCCACACTGATCAGGGTCAGAGGTTGCTCTTGCTCACCTGCAAAGCTGTGTGGGCTCCTTGATCCAAAATCCTCCAGAGCACATCCAGCTGCTGCTGCTGGAATTCCTCCTCACAGTTCACCACATGCACGATGCTGCAGCAACTGCTCTGGCCTTTGGCCTGCAGCAGAGCACAACAGGGAGCTCAAACCTATTGCCTGGCAGAAAGGAAGGACACTTGGGAAGCAAGAGGCAAGCAGTACTGTGGGGTCACTCACTGGGCACTGCAGAACAGCTTCCTGCAGCTCAGCCAAGGCCCGCAGTGTCCTCTCTGTCACTAAAAGAAGGAGGGACACAAAATGGGACATGGAGTTCTCCACCTCCACCACTGGGTCTGCCCCAGGCTCAAACCAGACTGAAGGGGAACAGGAAGTGAAAGCCATTTGTATCCACCACCCCACCTCATTTTTGTTAAAAACACTTGAAAGGAAACAGGCCTATTTGCACCCATTCTAGCCCCGCTGCCACACCCGAGCTGTTGTACATGCGAAGCTCACCGAGAAGCACATCTAGATTGGGGTCGTAGCCCAACAAGCCCTGCTGCTCCACGAAGCTCTTCAGGTGCACCTTAAAGATGACACCCTCGGCTGTGCCCGGCCCCTGCTCACAGGCTGCGGCACAGGGGCACCGGCCCAGCACCGCCTTCAAGGCCGAGACGGCATCAGTGAGGGACGAGCCAGCGGAGCCGGAGGGCCAGGAGACGCGGAGCTGCCGCAGGACGTTCCAGCTCCTCTCCTCGCTGAGCGCAGGGACCAGGCGGACGTGGACCCTGCGACAGAGGGCGAGGCAGGCGCTGGGAGCGGCGGGCCCCGCGGCGAGGGGCCGGGAAGGACGGGATAAAGGCACTCACCCCTGGGCGCGCAGCAGCTGGGCCAGGTGGTCGGCCAGCAGGACGGAGCGCAGGTGGCGGGGCCGCGGGGCGGCGGGGCCGCGCAGGGCCGGGCAGTGCAGCACCACGCAGCCCGCCCGCGCCCCCGCCGCGGGAGGCGCCGGGCCGGGCAGCGGCCCCAGCAGGCGCCGGAAGGCCTCGGGGCGCCGCACCTGCACCGCCAGCCCCGCCGGCGTCTGCCGGCACACCCGCAGCGGCAGCACCGCCGGGCCCCGCAGCGACGGCACCGCCGACACGGCCTCGGGGGGCACCTGCGGGCGGAGAGGAGTCCGGGCTGCACGGGCACAGGGCAGCGGCGCCCCCGGCCTCACCCAACAGCTCCCGCAAATCCCCGCTCCCGAGCCAGCCCTGCCCGCGCCGCCCCGGCCTACCTGCCCGCCGGGAAAGGCGGCGCTCAGCGCGGCCCGCGGCGCCAGGAAATCCCGGTGGCGCAGGTTGCGGGCGCCGCTCTCCTTCACCCAGAGCGCGGCGGGCCGCCCCAGGGCCCCGTTCAGCGCCCGCAGCGTCGCCGCCACCCCCGGGCGGTTCTCGGCCATCTCCTCGCCCATGGCGGCACCGGAGGTGACGTCACGCCTCGCCCAGGAGGCCGCCATGTCGCGTGCGGCGCGCGGCGCTCCCGGGCGGCCATCTTGGTCACGGGCGCGCGGCCGGGCAGGGCGGCCATCTTGGGGGCCGGCGCGGAGCCACCATGGTGGGTGTGGCGGGCAGCGGCGCCGCCATGGCGGGTGTGTCAGGGCAGCACCATAGGGCTGCAACCAGGCACCCCGAATGGCCCCAGAGGGTGTCAGTCCGCTCAGCCTCGCCCAGCGGGGCCATGGTGTCATCCTCAGGTGTGCAGGAGTGGAATCCCCGCTTCTCCAAAACTGGGGAGCCCAGACCTAAAACCCTCAGGAGCAGAGCAGGAGCCAGAGGCCGTGCCGGGGTCAGAGAGGGCTGGGCAGAACCGGCTGCCCGGGGCAGGGAGTGCAGCGCAGCCGTGGGCATGGCCCACCACCCTGAACTGTGGTGGGAAGGGAGCTTTGGATGGGCTGGAGTGTGTGAGGCAGGCCACAGCTGTGGGCATGGTGTCACTTGGCAGACCCTGGCTGGCCAGTCCAGCCTGTCCACCATGAGCCCCAGGGCTTGGCTGGACTCTGACACAATGGCTGAGGAACCGCAGCAGCAGCCATGTGCCTGGCATGGCACAGCGATGAGCAGCTGCAGGTGCACACCCTGCAATGTTCTCCATGCCTGTCCCAGTGGGCTGCTCTCCTGTCCAGCACATGAGCAGTGTCCCGCTTATCAGCCCCAGGAAGAAGGAAGTGGAAGCGATTAGATCACGCCATCGTGGTCTTGATTACATCTGCAGAGCTGAGCTGCTCCACAGCAACGGTTCGAGCACGGATCTGACAGAAAGCTCACACTGCTGGCCAGCTCCCTGACAAGTGGCTGCTGAACTGGGGACAGGGCAAGGGCCCAGCACACCCCCAGCCCCAGGGCACCAAGCCTGATTGACAGGGAGCAGGAAGCACCAAACCCCACCACAACACAGAGCTAGGGACGTCCCTTTCTACCGTGCCCTTCCTGCCCTCCCCGTTAAGGCAGATGGGGGGGGTGGGGGGAAAGGAAGGAGCTCTGCCCGCAGGGCCCAAACCGGTTCCTCCAGGGCTTGTGTGCATGGGGGAAAAGGGGGGGGAGCAAGGCGAGGGCAGATCCTGCTGCATGGGCTCTTCCAGGAATGCAACAACTGACTTTGGGGCTCCTCAGGCAGCTGTGGAGCCCCAGGGCTGCAGCCCACAGGCAGTGAGAATCTGCAGCCCCAGGGCTGGAGTGAGAACATGTCCCCCAGCCGTGCCTTGGTGGGGTGCTCCCTGCACCACCCACAGCCAAGAGGTGATCTGAGAATTGCTGCTCACACCAGACCAACTGCTGACTGTCCGCAGGGCAGGAGCTGCCCAGAACCCCTGCCTGGCCAGAGGGACTTGCTGCACCTTTTGTCACTACTCAAGGTGGGTCCAGGCTGGATCCGTCCACGTCCCTGCAGGCTGCCCACGTGGGCCCTGGCAGCGCAGTGGCCTGGGGAGGGCTCTCGGAGGCGCCGAAAGAGCTTTGGAAAGACACGACATCCCCGATGGCTCTCTGGCTGCTGGCTCAGCGGGAGTGATCGTGTCATTCCAAAGCCATCTCTCTCCAGGGGCTGGATCCTGCCCACCCCTGCAGGCACTGGGGTGCTGCGAGGGCCGGCATGGGCAGGAAGTTTGGCAGTACCACATAGCCTGCACCACCGTGGTGCAGGGGACCACATCCACCCTGTGGCCAGGGAGCCATGCTCCCCATACTCTCCCAGGAAGCCAGATCCTATTTTTAGCTGTTTGGGGCATATGAAAGAAGAGCCTCCTAGCTCGGTGCAGGAGCTGAGCCACGAGGCTGGACACCGGTGATCCTCCATCCTGACACCACCCTTCTTCCAGTGTGGCCCCAGGCGCTGCCCCAGCCCCGGGAGGGGTTGCAGTGGGACACGAGGCTCGGTGCGGGGCGAGGCGGTGGCGGGAGCGCGGGTAACGAAACCCCAGCGCAGCTGGGCACAGCGGGGACAGCTGCTTTTGGGATTCCGTTGCCCGCGCTGGCGCCGCGGAGCGATGGGCACAGGCACCACGGCCATGCCACCCCGACCCTGAGGCAGTCGGTGGGCCAAGAGGGGAGAGGGCGACTTACCGGCGGGGAGCGGGGCGGAGGAGATGCGTGGGAGCCACTGCCGGGCCGTTGTGATCGGGGGTGCCGGCAGAGACCGGGGTTGTGCTGCCGGCTCCCCCCGCGCCGCGGGCCGGGTGCCAATGGGAGGGCGGCACAGCCGAGCCAAAAGGAAACGGCTCCGAACAAAGCCCCGGTGGGGCTGGAGCAACTGGTGCCAGCCCATCGGCCCCCGACGGAGCCCGGAAACACGAGCCGGCCCCGAGGGAGGGCACCTGCCCCGGCACCTGCGCCCAGAGGCGGCACGGCCCGGTCCGGCCCCGCCGCCGCCGGCGAGGAGCCCTCGGCAACACCACGGGGGAATTCAAACCGCGTGGGGAACCCCACCGGCCCCACGGGGAGCTCCGCGCTGTTGCCCGGGGATCCCTGAGACCCTGCGCCGGCCAAGGCTGCCGGCTGTGGGAATTCCTGATGCCTCCAGCACGGCACGGTGGCGGGAAATGCTCCGCCGCCACTGCTGGGGAGCTTCCTGGTGGCCCCCGAACGTCAGGCTACGGCTGGCCCCGGGTGGGTGACACGGGTGGGGGCGCGGGTCCCTGTCCCACGGCGCTCTGAGCCCGCAGTGCTGCCGGCCTCACCGGGCGCGGCAGGAGGAGGGCTGAGGGTGCAGCTGGAGGTTCCGGCGGTGGCTCCGGGGGTCCAGCCCCGACTGGCAACAGCCGCCCGCAGTGGGGCACACGGGGACCCGGGGCGCCGTGCCGAGCCTGGGCAGCCCTGGGGCACCGGCGGGGCCGGGCCAGGAGCGCAGCCGAGACCCGGGCCCGCTCCCTCCCTCCCGGGGAGCCGCCCGCTCCCCTCTCACCTCCGGCCCCGCAGCCTTCGGCATAGCAGCCCGGGCCGGTCCACAGCCCCTCCCGGCGGCGGGGTCGGGGCGGCGGAGTCGGGGAGGCTCCAGCGGGACACCCCGCTCCCGCCGTGCCGCTCCCGCCCTGCCACCGGCCGCTTTCAGTTTCGCTCCGGCGCCCACCTGGGCTCTGCGGGTCGGACGCGCCCGGGCGCGGAGGCAGCGGGTGTGTGAGTGTCGCTGCCCTCCCGTCCCTCAGGACCCCGGGCGGGGCACCCCGAGGGCTCCCCGGGAGCCCCGGTCCGGTCCCGCTCCCCCGGTGGCGCTGTCCCGACCCCGGCCGCCGGGGGGCGGTAGCGGCGGGGGCGGGGCCGCGCGGCGGTTCCGGCGGTGTCGCGGCCATGGCGGCGCTGCGGCGGCTCGTACCGGCGGTCGGGCGGGCGGCGGCCAGGTACCGGCACCGTGCGACCGGCACCGGGCTGCCCTGCGACCGCGGGGAGCGCCTGTAGATGCCGTAGGGTGTTCGGGAGGTGTCCGTGGATCTCACGTGTCCCAGCTGCTCACTCTCCCCGCAGAGCGCCGTGCCGGGGTCACCGACTCACTCCGGCGGATGATGAGCTATACCAGCGGACGCGGGTGATGGTGCTGGAGCCGGAGTCCCCCAACATCATGTTCATCGAGAGCTACAGCACCCGCGGCTTCACCATCAGCGGAGACTTGGTGGTGGGGCCCTGCGCCGTCCTGCCCCGCAGCATCCTCCAGTGGAACGTGAGTGCCGGGCGGGGGGCGGGCGCTGCCGGTCGCCCCGAGCGCCGGGGCAGCGCCCCTGAGCGCCCGCCGTGTCCCCGCAGGTTGGCTCCCACCGGGACATCTCGCTCGAGAGTCTGTCGCTGTTCCGGCTGCTGGAGCCCCGGATAGGTACGCGGGGCGCGGGCTGCCCCCTTCGGGCTCCTGTCGAGGTGGCCGTGCGGGAGCCTCGGTACCTGCGGCAGGGCCAGGTCTGGGCCGAGGCAGCTCCGGTGCTGCCCTGCCCACCCTTCTCTTGCCCTGGTTGCAGAGATCCTGGTGCTGGGCACAGGGGACAGGGTGGAGCGGCTCCACCCCGCCACGCTGAAGCAGATGCGGGAGTGCGGGATTGCTGTGGAGGTGCAGGACACGGTAAGGGTGAGCCCAGGCAGCACCCCATTGAAAGGGAGGGGGTCATGTGCCGTGTGGGGAAGGGCCGAGTCTCCTTTCTGAGGGCCGGAGCTTCACTCACTCCCTTTTCTATTCACAGGCGAATGCATGTGCAACCTTCAACTTCCTAATGAATGAAAGGCGTGTGGTGGCTGCTGGGCTCATCCCCCCGCGGGGCACCTACGGAGTGTAGGCACTGCCGGCCATGCCCATGGGCTGAGTGGTTCTTCCCTGCCTGCCTGAAGCCCGCGAGGGTCACTGAGAAACGCTCCGTAGTGAACCAATGGCTCTGCACACAGGAGGGCTGTGAAATACACGGGCCTAGCTCTCTCCTGCAGTCCCTGGCTTCTTGGCCTCCCTGCCCGGTCTGGGCTGCAGACGGTGCGGCACAGCACAAGGCTTTGCTGGCAGCACTGGTCCCACAGCCCTGCCAAGGTCATGCCCCACACCTTGGCAAGAATCCTCACCTGAGGGAGGGTGAAGGCTGGTGGGGTGAGCTGTACATCCCCACGCACATCTGGAGGAAAATACATGTAAATGGGAAGTCCAAGAAATTGTGTGGTGGTTAATGCACTGCACATTGAGGCTGTAACAAATTGATGGGACATGTGCTCACCTTGGGCACTGGGCAGCACGTGTGGTGGTGGGATGCCATGTGCCAGCAGCTTCCTGAGCACAGCCAGCACCAGCAACTAGTGTGTCCCAGCTGGTGCTGGCCCAGCTTGGGCTCTCCAGTGGAGCTTTGTACTGCCCCAGCACAGATATCCCTTGGGCAGTGTTGGTCCAAGGGTGCTGCACCCCCTTTCACTGAAGGCTCAGACTCCAGCAGGGGACTTGGAAAGGGTCCCTGTCCTGAACTGGATGATTCATAATTGGGGATGTCATCCCTGGGGAAGAGAGTACATGTACCTAATGGCAGCTTCATGGCCTGAACTCTGCCACTTTGGCAGACAAAGGCAGGGGATGCAGCTGAAAGGTTAGGGTGGCTTTGCTTAGCAAGGTTCTTCATGAGTGTGTGGTATCAATACCATGACATTATAGTCAGGCTCTGGTTTTAGTGTATAAATCAAATTTGACATCCCCAAACCACTGATGGTAAACACACACTCTTCAGCAGGAGTAATGTGTGGGACACGTACAACTGATACAGGTGTGAAATACTTCTTGGCTCCTGGCACTGCAAGCACAGATAAATTTGCCAAGCCAGGGAAGTTTGCACTGCTCAGGCCTGCAGAAATGCAGACCAGCTCCTTTATAAACTTGTGCCCCTCCCAATGCATTGCCCACCTTCCAGCAAACAATTGCTCTATTGGAGCCTGGGCAGGTAATCCACAGTGAACAGCCCAAAGAGGTGCAGCCACTGGGCCTGGAGGTGTGGCAACTACAAGAGGTTTAGGGGAAGAATGCAGCAGTTGGACCAGGAATGGGGACCTGGAGCACCCTGGCTGCTGCCACAGCTGGGTTTGGCAGCTTGCAGCAGGAGATAATGGCAATGTAAAACAATTCACTTTCTTACCCAGCAGTCCAGCCCTTGCTTTCTGCTCTCAGGAAGGATTTTTAAAGAAGCCACAAGGTGTTACCCACTCAGCCCTGTCTCGGGGCTCTCCCTCCCTGTTGCCCTTCACATGGACACGGTTCCTTCTGGGATTATCAGCTGCCGCTGACAGTGTAGGAAACAAGGGACAGAGCCAAGGACAGAAAGCAAGGGAGGTAAATAAGAGGGGTCCGGGCTGACACCAACTGCACATCTTTTCATTTTTTTATTGTAAAACATGGCCAACACGTGCAAGGCTCCAGCCCAGGATCGTGGCTCCTGGGTGGAAGGCGGGCCCCGCGGGTGGTCAGAAAGCAGCCAAGGGACAGCAGGAGCTCCAGGCAGCCCACAATAATGGCACTTCTGCAGCAAGAGCAGCTCCCACGCGGAGGGGCGCAGGGCTGAGTGGCACAAGGACAGACACAGATCTCTCAGAAGAGGCGCTTCTCATACCTGCAAGGGAAGCAGCACCAGGGAGCCCCTTTGCTGACCCACCTCACTCAGGGCAGGGACAAAGGTGCAGTATGGAACGGATCCTGCCAGCCCAGGGAGGGGAACCCTCAGCACCCTGACAGGCCACGGCTTGGCCCAGCTGTGTGGTGCCAGAGCAAGCCTATGAATGGCACACCAAGCCTAGGGCATGGCAGCTGAGGTAGAGTGGCTGTTCCTCACCCCCAACGCCCCCCCAGAGTGACAAGGATCCTGCAGAAGCACTTACGAGTGGAGGCCATGCACCCCTCCTTCAACCTGAGCAGACGTTGTCCTCTTCTCAAATTTCAGCTCTCCCGAGTACATCATGGCTCTGAGAAGGAAGAACATCTATCACAAGCCAGGCAGAGTCCAGGGAAGACAGTGCTCTGGCACATGCTCAGCTGGAACATCTGGGATGAGGGTCACTGGGTCCTCCAGCTGTTGGCCAGAATGGTCTTTCCTGTGCTCTCAAGAACCAGACTGGGTAATGTAATCCCAACATTTTGAGCCCAGCCAGCTGAATATCCCATGAGAGACCACTCCTGTGTCCCTGGGGCTGGCAGTGCCCACTGGAGATGAGGGAAGAGAGCTACAAATAACCCAGAACACACCACAGCTTGAGTACAGCTGCACAGGGACTCCAATCAGCAGCACCATGACCTAACCAGAGCACAGGCACGGGGAAGCACTCACCGGACTTGGGTCAGGCTCTTGGCACCGATATCCTGGCAGGAATGCTGGATCCCAGCAATTAGGTATGGAATGAATTTATGGATAGAGCCCTTATCTTGCACTGCACCGGAGACCCCCTGGGCCACTTTAATTTTGTCCGTCTCACTGCATGAAAGCACAAATCAAGGTTATTTGTGAAGCACAGAAACCCCAAAAGCTTGATCTGCTGCCCCAAAGCACCATCTCTGACCTGAAATACCGATTCTGGCTGCCCAAGTTCTTGTCCATGGCATCTAGGGAGCCCATGCCGCGGTATTTCTTCAGCCTGATGCCATCCGAGAAGAAGTACTCGCCTGGAGCCTCCGTGGTGGCAGCCAGGAGAGAGCCCATCATCACTGGCACAAGATAACACAGGAACAGCACATCAGCAGCAGTGGCAGTACTGCAAAATCCCTCAGGGTTCCTGGGCACAGCCCTGGCTGCAGTCCCGTGCCCCCAGCCACCTGCAGGTAAAGGCCCTCACACCCAGTGTGATGCCATATGGAAACACCTCCTGGGGAATTCCCCACAGTGGTGCTCACCTGTGGAGGCCCCGAGTGCCAGGGCCTTGGCGATGTGTCCAACCGTCTGGATCCCTCCGTCGGCGATGACGGGGACGCCGAAGCGCCGGGCGTACTCGGACACCTTGTACACCGCCGTGGCCTGGGGGCGGCCGCACGCCAGCACTGCGGGACAGAGCACAGGCTCAGCCCCCGCAGCAGCACCTCCCCGTCCCAGCAGGCTCTTGCAGGCTTCCAGCACACACATGCTCCAGCACTCAGAACGCTCCTTCCCTAGGCTGAATCCAAGAGAAGCAGATGCCTGGGAGATGCCTGCTGAGACGTCCTCACAGCCCTTGGCTCCAAAAAGCTGTGAGTGACCTTGGGACTGGGGTCCTTGATTGGATGCCTGGGATCAGATGAGACTCGTGGCTCAATCCTTGTGCACAGCAGACATGTGGGGAGCTTGGGAATGAAATAAAGCAAACTCCAAAAGCCCCTCTCCAAAGCATCCCCGGCATGTAGCCATGTCCCACTGCTAGCTCTCTCCTGGAGCTGCCAGACCCCTTGTCCATGTACCCAGCATCTGTATGATGTGCCTCTTGAATGGAAAGGCAGTTGGCTGGGAGAGAGAGCTCATATGCCTGTATATGCTATAGATATAAATATATCTATACATACAGGTCTGCATATACACACAAACACATGCAGCAGTGGGAAAGGAAACAGGCAGAATGGTTTGGTAATAATTTATATTCCTGCCCTGCAATGTAGCAAGGGTTCCATCAAGTTTAAGCGGCCCCATGAGGAGAGAGTTATTAACTTTGGATTTACTTGTTCTTCCCAGTCGGTAGCAGTTAAAAAGCTTCCCGTTATGTGAGGAAAACCAGCACAAGGCAGGTCTTGTAACATGTTGGTCAGCCACAGGCATGCAAGAACACTGAGATAAGCTTCTCTCCGGGAGATGTCCCTTCCCCACGATAACTAGAAGCCTTTTCTTCAGTCATGGTTAGTCCCATAAATTAGGTAAGATTAAGGCCATACAGTATTAGTACTTTGGAGTGTGAACTCCAGGTGTGGTTCAGCCTGCATGGCGGCAGTGCTGGCAGCATGTCCCTGGCAGAGGCCTGCAGGGGCCAGGAGGCTACAATTTCTCTACTCCCAGCACTCAGCAGCAGCTGCTGAGGGAGGGCAGCCAGACTTCAGGCTGAGATTGTGACAGAACTAAATTTAATCAGACCCCAGTGTTCAGCTCAGCCAGCCAGGGAGAGGCTGCCAGTTTTGTTACCAATGCCCTTAAAGAGATGGTCTTGCAGTTCTGCACTGCTGAAGGCCACAGTACAGCTGAAAAACGCTGCCGTGGAAGAGCTCAGAAATGGGTGTTTCTGTGGAGAGAAATACCCATTTCTGAAAGGTTTTGAGTCCAGGGTCTATGGGAGTGTGCCACAGACAGTGCAGGGCCTGCAGAAACCTCTCAAGCACAACCACAGAGGTTGTGCCTTTTAAGGCACAGCTTGGCTCAGGGCCCCTGGGAGCATCGTGCGTCTCCGAGTGTCCCAGTGCCCAGTGCCACAGCCCCGGAGCGCAGCTTCCCAAGCAGGGTTCTGAGCACACACACACGTCACACCATCAGGGTAAGGGTTTGTCCCTTTTAGTGTATTGGCAAAGGGTGGCCCTACAAAATCATCTGCTAGAGAAAACCTTCCAGGATCTGCAGGAGTAAACCTCTTCCTTTGAGGTGTGTCAGAACTAGGAGAAAGGACAAAGCCTAAGGCTTGCCTTGCAGGGGCTGCTTGGTCATCAGAGCAGAGAACACTGCACCCTGTGCTGGGCAGGCAAAAGCCCCTTCTCTCCACAAGACTTGGTGGGGAAAAGATGGGACACAGCTGCCAAGGTGGCCATGTGCAGTGAAGTCCCTCTGTAACTCAGGGGAGCCAGCTCCATGGGATGCTTGGCCAGTGCACAACTTCCCCAGAAGTAGGGCTGCATTTTGAGCCCAATCAAGAACTGCTCAGTGATCACCTCCCAGTACTGGATCAGCAGGAGCATGCCTGGCTAGGGATCCAGAAGGTGTAGTCAGGCTCCTAACGGGATTTTGGAGTGGAGAGGGCAGGCCTGAATTCCCTCAGCTTGAACAGTTCAGATTCTGCTTTACGAAATCAGAAAGGCTTCTCAGAATTAATTTCGGATTCAAAACCAGTATCCAAAGCCACAAAACCCCAAGTGCATCTACAGCTAAATTATTCTCAAACAAGCAGTAGGGCCATGTGCAGCCAAATCAGGGTCCTGCTTCAAGACACATAATTAGGGTTGGGAACAGGGCAAGTGACTTACTATA